ACAGGCTTTGAGGTCTCATATGCTCAAGCTATGCCTTGTGGTACACAGTCTTTCTGCTGCCTGTAGATTAAGATATAAAACTCTCAGCTCCTTCTCCAGCACCATGTCTGCCTGCATGCTGCCATGTTTCCTGTCATGATGATAATGGACTAAACTTCTGAAACTTTAAGCCAGTCCTATTTAAATGCTTTCCTTTATAAGAGCTGCCATGGTCATGGTGTCTCTGCACAGCAATTGAAACCCTAAGCCTAGCATGCATGAAGTCTTAGGTTCAAGCCACCACAATATATCAACCAGGATGGTTGTATGTGTGTGTAATTCCAGCATTTGGAAGGTAGCAGCAAGAGAATAGTATCAGAACTTCACAGTCACCCTCAACTACATAATGAGTTTGAGACCAGCCTTGAATACATAAGATTCTTGCTGGAAAAACTTCACGGTGAGCTGTGAGGGTAGCTCAGACATACACTGCTGACCTGTGCTGCATGCACAAGGCTTAATCCCTAAAGCTATATTTCTACAAAAAAAAAAAAAAAAAAAGGAAACATAGGTATTTGACTTTCCCCCTACAAAGAATAGTCAATGTCCTAGTCTACAAACTAATTAGACAAATTCATCCATCTTAGGTCTTATGGTTAAAAAAAAAAAAAAGTTTGAGCTTGAGCAATTTATAATTTATGTTTAATGTTAGACACCATCGATCTGGAGTATTAATTTTACTCATTTCTTCATTTTACTTCATAAAATACAGAGCCAAACCGGAGCTACAGTAGGTTTAATTTTCTTCTTTTGTTCTCAAAATCTTTACCTTAATTCCTCTCAACAATGCCTCTTAAAAAGAACTAGGCTGGAGCTGTAGAGATGACTCAGTGGAAGAACATTATCGCTTTTGTAGAGGACTCAGGTTCCATTCCAAGAACCCACATGGTGGTTTTATAACCATCTGTAACTCCAGTGCAAGGAGATCCAACAACCTCTTCTGACCGCCTCTGGTACCAGGTTCACACGTGTACACACACATGCATACATACAGGCAAACACCTATACACATAAAAATAAACATTAATTTTTAAAAAGTGAGAACTGCCCTGTTGTATCCAGAAGAGTTTCCTTGTAGTCATCTATTACTTCCTGCTTCCTCTTTTGCCATGGACCTCAGACCCTGGGTGGAGGGCAGCTGCGCACAGAATTCACAGCAGCTAAGACAGCATGTGCAAGACCTGTCAGACACAATTTCAGCCTGAAAAAGGCAGAGAGACACAAAGTCCTTCCCTGCCTAAACAGCTACTAGCAGTTGATAGCTACAGTGAGAGGCGCAGTCAGTTTAGAAGTGCAGCCGCTGATGGGTAGACCACTTATCTAATGGTACATGGCAGTATAAACTGCACTTGGGGTGAAAACAGACAGGCATGTATATACAAAGTTGGGTGGTCTGGGAAGAGTAGGAAGAGGGACTGAATATGATCAAAATACATTATTCAAAATTCTGAAAGAATTAATAAAAAATGAGGACAGGTGGACTGGTGAGATGACTCAGTGGTTAAGGTCCCAGGTTCAATTCCCAGCACCTACATGGCAGTTTACAGTAGTCTAACCTCCACCAGATCCAAAGCCCTTTTCTGGCCTCCACAGGCACCAAGAATGTATATGGTGCACTGTTTTTCACAAGTTCTTTTTCACTTGGAATTTACTGTGTCCAGAAATTTCTGTGCCAAGCACTATACCAGGGATTTTGTAACCCTGGGATTGTTGAACTAATTTCCTAGTTTGCTCCAGGCTCAGAAAGGATCCCCCTTCCACCACTCCTGGTACTGAGGATTTAGCTCAAGACCTCGTGCATGCCAAGAAAGACACCAGACATGGGAACACACAGAACTATGCAGTACCAGACTCGGGATGGATTGGAAAGATTTTTTACATTATCTCAGTCACACAGTTTATGAGCTGACATGCATGTGACAAGAGGTGGATTCACATTCAGTCAAAAGCATCACATGTACGTATGTGTGTAGGCCTATTCTGGAGCTAATGCAGAGAGCACAGGAAGGAAAAGAGGATGGAGAAAGCCCCCACTGAGGCTGTGGTGCATGCACTAAGTTTTAAAGAAAAGAACAAAGTGAAAGTATCCAGAAAAAAAAGAATCATGTACAAAAATTAAAGAGGAAGCCGGGCAGTGGTGGCGCACGCCTTTAATCCCAGCACTTGGGAGGCAGAGGCAGGCGGATCTCTGTGAGACCAGCCTGGTCTACAAGAGCTAGTTCCAGGACAGGCTCCAAAACCACAGAGAAACCCTGTCTCGAAAAACAAAAACAAAAACAAACAAACAAAAAAAAAAATTAAAGAGGAGAGAAGAAAAGTTCTGGAAACGGCAAAGGGAAGATATGTTCCACAATTCACGCATCTCAGCTTACCAGACTTTAGGTCCATCAGAGAGACTCTCTATGGCCACAGCACTAACAGTGGCTGGCAGGGCAGGTAGAAGTGAAACAGAGACAGCCCTCAGCTGCTACCCTTAGGCTGAAAACTCTGAATTATGTTCAATAGCAAAGAGGAAACACATGAGTCTCCTACATGAGAAACACATCATCAACCTGCACAGCATGTGAATAAATTACAGATTAGAAGCCAGGAAACTGGTCAGGAGCCTGTAGAAGAGTCTGACAGTGGGGTGATGAGAAACAAACCAGGGCTATCATAAAGAATAAATAAAACAACTTTGTAGTATTTTTATTTTCTAGTTACCACCATTAGAAAGTTAAAAATAAAAGTGTGTGTGTGTGTGTGCACGTATGTATGTACATACATATAAATGTAGTGGGCTTACTACTACTGATGGTAAGATGGGGGGAGGGAGAAGTCACACGTCAAACCACAGGAAGCCTAGTTTATGGCTTAGTCTACAAAGAAGCACTAGGCTAAGCAGCAACTACAGTACTGCCTGCTATGAAATAATTTTAGTAATAGTAAAAATTACACAATTTGGTCCAGCACGATAACTCAGTGGCTAAAGACATTTGCCATAATGCCTGACAACCTGAGCTAAATCTCTGGGACCCACAAGATGAAAGAAATGACTCTTGTAAGCTGTTTCCTGGTCTCCATATTTGTGAATACACACACACACACACACACACACTAAATAAATGCAAAAATTTAAATTTACTTACTCTAATACATCTTATTATTCTACCACACAATTATTAAAATTTAAGAGAAACTTCACATTCATATTTTTTGGGCTAATTTAAATCTAATTTTATACTTGTCTCATTTGAACACTAAAATAACACTAAAAATTTAATTGGTAGGTTTGGTAAATATTTAGATTTCATAAAATTTACAGAGAAAAGAATAGATTTACATACCCAAGATTTCTTATGACACACTTTAACACTTTCCAGTGAATGATGAACTTGTAAATTTACAATACAGGGCCAGCAAGATCTCAGCAGCTAAAGATCCCTGCAGCCAAGTAGATAACCTGAGTTTCTTCCCAGGGACCCACATGTGTACAAGAAGAACTGACTGTTATAAGTTATTCTTTGATCTCCACATGCAATGTCCACACTCATATATACATACAAAATGAATAAATAAATGTAAAAAATTTAGATCACATTAAAAATTTACAGTACTTGCTGTGTGGTGGTGGCAAATGCCTTTAGTCCCAGTACTTTGGGGGCAGAGGCAGGCAGCTCTCTGAATTCAAACCCAGTCTGGTGAACTGGATGAGTTATAGAACAGCCAAGGGCTACAGAAAAACGGTTGTCTGGAAAAACAAACAAACAAACAAAACTTGAGGGGAAAAAAGTCAAAGTACTGGGGTAAAGACAGGCAGATGGATCTAGGGACTCGATGTCTAGCCAGCTTAGCCAAATGGTGAGCCCCAGGTCTCAGTGAGAGCCTGCCTCCGGAAAAACAGGGGGTATGACTCCTGAGGAACCAAGAGAGCAGAGCTTTGGGCTTCACTGGGACACACATACATGCACATTTACAGGAACATACACACATGCACCTGCACACACAAACACATACCCACCTACAAAAAATCCAGTTGCTCAGGTATGCTAGCCAGCTTGTGGGTGGTCAGTAGCTCTATGTAACTATGACAGAGGGCATTTAGGCCTAAAAAGTAACAAAGGTATTGGCTTCTGCCCACTCCCGACCATTGGCATTTATATCTACTTAGTGTTGAGGATATCTGCATAACAGACAACTTCCAAAGTATTAATTATGAAAATGGTGCCAGTGGCCATATCCTCATTACTGTATAGCTTACATTCTCAATTCCAATACCAAGATAGGTAAAAAAGGAAATCTTCAAATAACTAAATAAAATTGTGCTGTACTGCCTAACACATGAAGCACACTAAAACATGGTTGTGGGATGGACACTCTTTTCCATGGCCCAAGGAACAATTCAGTTGTCTGTGGCCTATGTAAGTCTTATACTATTTTCCTATTAACTACTTAAATTTATTAGACTTTATTTTTAAAAAGGCAGGAAAAAATACTTTCAACTGTGTATTTATTAGGAGCGTTACAGTGGAATGGTTAAGAGCATAAGCTCGCAGTCAAGACAGCCTGGATTCAAATCCTGTTTCTATCATTTATTAGATGTGTGATCTTGGCAAAATATTTGGCCACTCTATGGTTCAGTTCCCTGTTCTGCAATACTGTGCCTCAAGGAAATAATACACAGAGAACACTTGGCACATAGTAGCTGTTCAGCAAACATTTCTGTTAGAGAGATGCCAGAAAAGTTGAAATTATGACTAAAGTCGAAGCTAGGCTTCTTAATTTTCCATGTTCCCCGCATGATTATACCTCGGGGCGGGGACGACTTGAAGTTCTCAAAAGGAGTATCTTTCATGCAGTTACATTCAATTAAAAAAAAAAACTAAACAAGAAACTTCATCTACTGACCGGGTAATTATGCGCATAGCGGCAGCCAAGCAAACAGAAAAACACGAAGCTAGAGAGGAAGGCATTGGCCTTACCTGCTTTTCCGTTTTCGAGGTAGTTTCTCCACTGTGCCAGTCAGTCTACAGACCAAACAAATGAAATCGGTAACTAAAAGGGAGTACACCCTCGGCCTCCCCTTGCCTGTGGGGCACTCCATGTACCACCCAATGGGGCCAGAGGCTGACCACAGGTTGGCCGGGTCTACCTCTGACCTGACAAACCCCTCAAGTCGGGCTTCCCTTCCTTCCCTCGACCAATCGATCCCCGGACTCACTGGTCCCCGAATGCCCCGTGCCTCAACGCTCGGCTCCCCCAAACCACACGGCCCGTCGGCCTCATTGTCTGCCCGGAGCCGCAGGCCCCCCAGCTCCCCTCGGCCGCAGCCCCGCCCCTCAGCCCCGATCCCCCGCATTCCTCGGCCCCCGATGGGGCGCGCGTCCTCCGCTCCAGTCCTGCACATCCTCGTTCCCCGCCCCGACGAGCTGCTCGCTCTCCGCGCCCCCAGATGCTGCATGCCTGCACCCCCGCCCCTCAGGGCTCGGCCGCTCCCTCGGCCCCAAGCCTCCGCCTGGCACCGCAGCCCGCCCCACCTGGGGGCCAGGCGACTCCGCGGCTGCTGGGACTGCCGGGCTCCTCTGACCATCCGGCTCCTGCTCCGCCGCGGGAGCTGCTCCGGCGGCCGCAAGGCTCGCTCGGGATGCTGAGGCAGCGGAGGCTGGAGTAGGCGGAGAGACGGGAGGAGGGCCTCGCGCCTCGGCCAGGCTAGCCGCGGGGCCTGCCCCCTCCGCGCCTCTCCTCGGCTCCTATTGGCTGAAACTGCAGCGTGCCTGAAAGTCCGGCCGCCGATTGGGAGTTCGGGCCTTCACGTCCCGCGCGGCCCACCCTGAGGTTTGGTTGAGACTGCAGGTGGCGGCAGAGGTGCCTTAAATACTGCTAGCAGAGCGGGAGGAGCTCTGCGCGCCACCGTGCGCCAGAAAGGGGGAATTGCGTCTCCGGCGCCAGACACCTGCTTCCAGGTTCTTGGTTCTGCATCCTGCATCCTAGACATCTGCTAATTCCCCCGCCTCCGCACAGCCCCAGAACCAAATCAAGCACTGCACTTTCTCCAAATATATTCAGAAGTTCGAGGGCAAAGCAGCTCTTCGTCACAGCGTCGTTCTGAATCACCTCGAATGCAGTCCCTGCCAGCATCTTGCAGAAATGATCTCGTCTCAGTGCTACCCTTCGAAGAGGTCACGATACCAAATCGTAAAGATCCAGCAATATAAATATGTTTTAACAGCAGGAAAGATCGTAAGCTTTGGTGGAAGCTTGTAAGAAAGCACGAGAATTTCTTTAATTAGCACGAAAAAAGAAAAAAAAGACATTGCAAAAAGAACCAATTGCAGTAACTACAAATAACGTATTCCATTTTGAAAAGCATAAAACGTACTGCTTCTTGTGTAAGCTAGCCATTTTGTGCCATTGCAGATGATTCAAAAGTCTACATCAGTTAATCAGTTTTAGTATAAATTTCACTGCATTTTGACTCAAGTATACAAAACAACCACCACGTAAGTACAATAAATATTAGTAACCTATTCTACTCTAACAAAGCTATTTTGAAAATACAGCAGATTTATATGTATTGCATCTGAAGAATATAATTTTGGGCGTGGGTGGGTTTTGAGACAGGTTTCTTTGTATAGTCATGACTCTTCTGGAACTCACTTTGTACTCTAGGCTGGCCTCGAACTCAAAGAGATCTGCTTGCCTCTGCTTCCCTGGTGCTGGGATTAAAGAGGTGAACTATCATGCCTGGTGAAAAATTTAATTCTTAAAACGAGTAATACTCTGTATAACTTTATTCCTATACAGAGTTGTCAGATCCTAAGTTCATTTCTTCCTGCTAGATTCGGGAGGAGGCATAAAATTTTCTCTTGAGTCTCTTTCATTTTAGAACACATTTTGTTTAGACACACCAACAATGCAGTGGCAGAGATAGGGCTCAGCAGAGTAAAAGGTGCTTGCTGTTCAAGCCTGACATTGTGTGTTCAGTCCTGGAACGCACAGAGCAACAGACTCTAAAGTCTCAGACCTCCACGTGCACATGACACACACACACACATACCTGCACACACATGAAAACAAATAAAAATGCACGAGGACAAATATTCCACAAATCTCCACAAATGGATAGTATCCCAAATAGTGAGATACGAATTTTTCCACAGAACCAAATGTATTTGATGCAATGGGTTATTCTTTATTTCTAAATGGTTTATCTTGTATCCATCTTTGATGCTAAGATGGCTTTCCTCTTATGAAATATGGGATGCAGTAAGGTATAGTGGTATTTTATTTTTTGCAATGCTGAAGAGCTCTTATTACATTTAAGAGAGGGAGGCAGAGGGAAGGAGGAAGAGGGACGGTGTTTCAGGTGGGAACATGTAGGGGGACAGAAGTCAACCTGTGGAAATCAGTAGTTTTCTCCTTTCATCTTGTGGGTCCTGGAGACCACACTCTGCTCATTAGGCTTGTGGCAAACACCTTTTCCTATTGAGCTACCTTGCTGTCCTACTGCTGACCCCCAATATGTTCTCCTCCACAATTGCACTATAGGAATTTTGAAGTTGTATTTATCTGTACTGGTGTTTTGCCTCCATGTATGTTTGTACATAACACGCATGTCTGGTGCCAATGTAGGCTCCCTGATATGGAAGTTGCAGATTGTGATTTGCCATGTGGGTGCTGGAAATTGAACCCTATGCTTCTCTGGAGAGCAATTTGTCCTTTTAACTACTAAACCATCTCTCCAGCCCTATTATGGGATTTTTAAAAATGGCTTTGACTAGAGAAAATATTACCAAATGTCTGTTGTTTCCCCTAAATGATGTAATTCTAGAGCCATAGAGTCACCAATTATTTCAATTTTAATTTTCTACTTAATTAACTCAGCAAGAAACCAAGGAGTTTTGGGTGAAGGGATCCTGCTGTAATCTTGAAATATCACGCATGACATTCTTACTAAAATCCTCTTCCTACTACCCAACTTTCCCACGACTGGCCTCTCTGAAGCATAGACAATCTATCAACAGAACTGCAGCTAACTGTTGGGTCTTCCTAAATGTAACCTTCATGTTGTGTCCAAGTTCTATAATCTCGATTTCTGGGCTCATGCATATTCCATTACCCAGCCCATTATTTGTGTCTGCCCACACCAGACACTTCCTTCAAATCCCTTGTACTAAAGTCTACACTGTGGGACTGGACTGGTGGCTGTGGTTAAGAGCGCTTGTTTGCAGAGGGCCTGGGCTAAGCCCTCGCCCAACGAGCCATGCCTAACCCATTCCAGGGTGTCTGATGCCCTCTTCGAACTCTGCAGACATAAACGCAGGCAAAAGAAATCACATACACAGAACAAATAAATTATTTTCTTTAAAAAAGTTATACTACTAGTAGCCATGTTTGATGACCCTGAGTTCCTCTTCTTAATCACACGAATTTTGATCGAGTCCTCAGTAAATAGCAGCTTTGGGCCAAGTACTGGTCATTTTGTGGGTGCTATTCTTAATATTATAACCAGCTTCACTTTATTTTTAGAAAAGAAATGGAAGATCAGAGAATTTAATTTGTTCAGGGTCAAAAAGTTGCAAAACCCAATAGTGCTTAAAAGAGAAGGCTTGAACAGTCGCTGTTTAGTGCCCTCCAGGGGGTTCAAGTTCCAGTTTTCCTGAGATCTAGACAGCTTACCTGTCCTTTCCAGTTCCATTCTCTCACCCGGGGTAGGGTGGGGATAGGAGCAATTTAGACGTACATCCATACCAAGAGTACCACAAGATATAAGCTGGGCATGGTGATATATGTCTTTAATCTCAGCACTTTGGAGGCAAAGCCAGGTGGATCTCTACAAGGCCAGTGTGGTCTACATGGTGAGAATCTGTCTCAAAACAACCAGTGCCTCCGGACCTCAGAAAAATTAAAAGGATCACAAAATAGGACATGTACAGGCCAGGAATGTAGCACAGTGGTTGACTGCTTACCTAGCATGCACAAGGTCCTGGGTTCAACCCTCAGTACTGCAAAATAGGGCATGTTAGCATTTATCTAAAATGCTTGATCATAGATTAAAAAAATTCCACTCCCATTTCTATACAAAATGCTCAGAACCATTTTCAGGTACTCACAAGAGTGGTATATACTGCAATAAATGTTTTTGTATAAACGTCATACATTGTTGAATTAAGAACCGTGTTAGCAATCTAGGCATAAACTTAATTCTCATAAGAAAGGTACACATTCATGTGATGAAGGAAACTTGCAAAATTCTAGGGGACTTTTCAAATGCAGGGGGGGATAAAGGTTAGTTCTGTTTATAAGTCACACAACCAAGTGAAAGAGTAAGCATCTCTTTGAAAACATAAATTACATGAAATGCTACCTTCTTCTCAGGGAATACTATAGACTGCATTAGATAACATTATTTTTCATAAACTTCCTACAATCGTTTTATTAATTGACACCGAGGGAATGTAGCACCTTTCATTCAAAGAACTGGAGGTGCTTTACAAACATCAGCATTTAAAAAACAGAGACATTTAAAAATCTGAAGTCTTGCAGTTAAATCTCAATTCTGTACACAATTTTCTGAAGGCTGACACACAGTGATTCTACTGTCAATGGCAGGATTCACAGTACAGGCATGGGGCTGGGTTTACAGAGAAAAGACACACAGAGATCTTAAATGCAAGGAACATTGTGAACCTTATTTCAAAAGCAACTCAACGTTTAAGATAACAGTTCTAGACATCCAGATGGAATAGGAGCTGACAGGTTGCATATTAGATGTAGTCTTGATCGAGGCTTTTTAAGATCACGCCCAAGTGAACACATTTAAAGAAATGAGATTCTTGTATTGATCTATGGAAAGCTAGCCAAAAGTCTATCAGCCAAATAAAGAAAGGGAGGAAATGGCAATTTAAAGTAGACGGTTCTCACTGGAGCCTAGGACACTTTATTAGATAGAAACCAAGTATATCACAGTCAAATAAAAATAGTTCTTAGCCCCATTGATACAACATAGGGTATTTTACATTCAGCCTAGACACAGGAAGTAGCAGATTCCCTCAACTTCAGATCTCTGGCTTGCAAGTGTCTCTCATCACATGATTACTCTGAATAATAAATACATAGCCCTTGTTTAGTAGAGGGATCCAATAATTCTTTTTCAGGCTTGCAGGGTCCAATACATTCACTCTTTCTTTCCTTCACAAGTCTAATAGAAAAACTACTTTTTCCATGCCTCAAAGCCATTGTTCAGTTGAAGAAAAGTCAGGCAAAACAGAGATGGCAGTTAAGGGATGGAAGAATATTATTGGCACATGCCCAGCTAGTGACTAACAAAAGCAGTACACCGTGACTTGAAAATAAGTCACATTAAAGGAGAATAAAAACAACCACACCAACCTAAGCTAAGGAGTGTGAAGCAGAAAGAGTGGACTGAGTTGCTGATTTTACTGGTACAACTTAAAAGCAGTGGAGGGCAAGCACTTAAATACAATTTATGGCAACACAAACAAGAAAATACTGCAGAGAGTTGTTAAAAAACCACATCAAGTTGTCTGCACCATTAATTCCAGTGTTTCACAATTAATAAAATACATAGCTACATATTCCTGTGAGATAAAAATACCTTTCCACCTGAATTACACTGGGGTTAGGAAAGTAACACAAAGCTACTGACCCACCATTAGTTCAAGTGTGTGCAGCAAATGTCTCAGTCACTTCTTTCATAGACTACACAATTAAAAACTGTACAAGGGGCTGGGTGATTAGGGACAAATAAAATCAAAACAATATTGTGCTCATTCAGTAAAAGAAACCCTGATGAAATAGTATTTGCCAAGAAGCTTAGACTATTAAGATTTTTATTGCATTTTTAGGTAACCTGGAAGTTCTTATCCTGGAGGGGAAAAGTTGTTTTTTAAAACTACCTGAACAGATGCTAAAGTGCTTTAATCAATTGCTTCACATGGATTTCCTGGGATGACAAAAGATGATTATCATTATAAAGGGACACCAAAAATTTCACAAGATGGTACATCCTAAGTCATCTATGACAACAGTCATAAGAGATAATGATATACTTGTCCTTATTAAGTGGACAATTACATATCAAGAACTGATCATCACAACCCTTTAGATAGTCAAATTACACACACAAAGTTGAAATATGGCATGACAGACCTTCACAAGCAAACAGCCTGTTTTTTTCCCACACTTTAAATAATCTGCTTCAGATTACAGTTCACAAACACAAGGGTTCTGATATTTCAGCCTTTAAAGTTGCTGTTAAAAACTGAATACTTTGTAAAAGTTAAGGTCAAAGGTTACAGCGAGAGAATGCTTGCTACTGAAAAGTATTCATTTACTTGATGGTACTCAGGAGAGTGTAAACTGGATTGAACACATTCTACTCAATTGGCATCAAATCTACATATCAGCGCTACAACTATTAAATGTTTTCTATTACTATAGAGGATAGAAATCAAAGTGTTACTATGGCAGTTATGTTCTTTAGGCACAATTTAGTGGTATTTTAAAAAAATAAATATTGAATTTCAACTGAAATTTTAGATTCAATAACCAAAGGGTCAAAAACTCTCAGGAAAACAAGGAAAAAAAAAAAGTAACCTTTAGCTAACAATGTAAGTTGTTTAAAATTTCTAACACTTAACCTATCTGGGTTTTAAGATTACTTTATTAAAAAATACAAGAAATCTGAAAAAAGATCAGTACAATTATCTTAATGTACAAAGTTATAAGCTGTAGCAGTTTTTAACTAAAATTTAAAAACACAACAAGGAGGGCAGCCCTTTAGACCAATTTATTTTATACCCTTTTGAAACATCAAATCATCATCCAACAATGGACAGTGAAGTTTACAGCTGCGACAAGGGGACATGACTCAGGCATCTGCAGTCCATCCTGCCCACTGGACAACTTTGCTGCTGAAATTTCTTAACCCTACTAAACAAAAGCAGAAGGCTGGCTGATACAAATGAGGATTTCCATGTAATTGTCAATGGGCTTTTTAAAAGAGGAAATGCTTCCTGTTTCCCCAGAACAGTAAATAAGCAAGAGCTACATGCAGCAATGTGAGTATTAAGACATTTCTCAGGTTTTCTCAAACAAGTCCAAGGTGGGGATGGGATGAGTGACAAAACTGATAGAAAACATTGCTATCGACACCATAACAAATAATAAATTTAGATAATTTAAAAAAAAAAGGCAAGAGGCAGCATTTCAGCAGCAAAGTGCTCAATAATAAGTATATTGTAGAGGGTACAAGAAAGTTGGGGTAAAAGAGGGTATAAAGTGGGCCAGCAGGATGGCAATGGCCTCAGAGGAAATACGGCGTCGTAGTTCTGGGAGGAATAACACGCTCTGAATCTGGAACAGCCCGGAATAACTTTGGTTCTCTCGTATTGACATCTTTGAAGACCATGATGGAAGCGATGTTTCCACAGCGATAGCAGTAGTTAGGAGCAGACCACACTGTGACCAGCTTCTCGTCAAACATAAACTTATAGCCTTCATGTACAAGCTGATGTGCTCTGCAGATGAGTTTTAAGTTGTTGATATGAACAAACTGCAATTTAGAAAGGCTTTGTGAGTATTCCATTCAACAGCTTAATAACCATTCCAAACAGCAAGTATCATTATTGAAGTTTTCATGATTCTAAGTCCCACTCTATAATCGTTCCCAACATTTCCATTGCCACTTTGGCCCAAGTCTATTTTGAAGTACATGACCCACAATTTGGAATTTCTAAGCCAGGTATAGTAATTAGCACCTGTATTCTCAGTTACTCGGAAGGCTGAATAGGAGGACCCCTTGAGTCCACAAGTTTGAGACCAGTCTCTGCAACACAGAGATGACATATCTTTAAAACAGCCATAGTAATAGTAAATGGCTAGGTTGGAAGAGAGGCTTGTCAACAGGCCTGGTGATTAGAATTTGATCCCAGAACCCACATAGTAGGAGAGAACTGACTTCCACAAGTTGTCCTTTGGCTTCTTCTCATCCTTCCAACACACACACACACACACACACACACACACACACACACACACACATATAAATAATAAACAAGCAAGCAAGTAAACATCACAAAAATCGCTAGGAGAATCAGGAGTTTGAGGCCAGTCTAAGCCACCTATTAAGAACTATATCAAGAAAAAGAAGAAGTTTCTAGGGGGAAAAATTACTTAATTACCACCAGATACAAAGCAAAGGTTTTCTATTTAATTATATAACAAAATTATTATCAGTCTTATTATGTGAGGGTTTATTGTATGCAACCTGAAGAGGAAAGAATTCAAACTCAGTAAAGTCTTTCCAGAAGTGAGGATAAACCAATGGCCCTAGCACCTAGTTCTATGGTTCTATTATTATGTTGAAACACATCTCAACAGAACATGTGTGTCTGTGAACGCTATCTGCCCACATTTGTTCATGGCTGTTTTGATGTGTGCATGTAGGTACATAATTTGATAAAGCTGCAGTCATAAAAGAGCAGCAGAAGACGTCAGAATTTCTGTGTATATCTTATTTGTAAATTATTTGCCCAAAAGATTTATAGAAAATAGTTTCTAAATTTTAAAATTGCTGAATTCATGCAGCCAGCACATGCAGTAGATTATTAGAGAGCAAAGATTGTAATCATAGTGTTTTGTAAATTGTAAACAAGAAGTTATTTTTATATTATTACTGCCTAATTATTCACCCTAGTGGTTCTTATTTTCATCTAGTCATAGAGATTCAGTAAGTGCCTTGGAACAATACTGAATTTTCTTAGCTTATGTATATTACTTTAAATTCTGAATTCAGGCTACAGAGATGGTTTTAGAGCACTGGCTGCTTTTCCAGAAGATAGGAGTTTGATTCCCAACCACCACACAGCAGTTCACAACCACCTGTATCTGGCCTCTGCAGGCACTTCATGCACATGGTGCAAGATGCAGAATAAAAAGTAAAGGTTGTCATGCAGAGTGGTGCACACCTTTGATACCAGAACTGGGGAAGCAGAGACAGGCAGATCTCTGTGAGTTCGAGACCAGCCTGGTCTACACAGTGAGCTCTATAGACCCTGTCTCAGAACAAAACAAAACAAAACGGTTAAAAGTATGATTTAAACAAAAAGTAAGTAAAACAAAATGTGAAATCAACTGGGATTAGAGGACTGTCAGAATATATGTATATTTCAGGATATTTGATTGGCCATTAAAATGAACAAACAAAAAAGTTGCCTATCTTGCTCTGGTGATCCTGTTACTTAACTATTATTTTAATAATATAAACAGACGGCTGGAATATTATTTAATTATATAAGCAGACCACTTTCACTATAAAATCTGGCTGAACCATTTAGGAAGCATAATTCAATCAACTACAGTAAGAATCTGATACATATAGTAACAATAATTTTATTAAATTAGGCTTGAAGTTTGATATCTGAGATCATCATTATTCTTTTACCAATCAAAGAAATACTCTTCCAAAAATGCTAGCTTTACCTCATTTGTGACTTTTGCTCCAAAAAGCCAACCTGCTCCTCTGGGACTGATTGCCCAAGTGTCTACATCTTCAGGATCTGACCACACCAGGTCACAAAATGCTCCTTTGTGAGGAATTTCCTGATTTCGTTCAATGGTTCGAATTTGATCCAGTGTTTTGATATCAGGAGATAAGCCGCCATGAACACACAAAATTTGCTCATCTATTAACTAGCAAAAAAGAGTAACAAAGGATAATAATAAACTCAGTCATATATAAATTCAACAATAAACATGAAACTAAGTAAAGGCGACAACTGATAAAAACACTTGAGGCTCTAAGGAGAGTCATATAAACTTACAGCTGCTACTGTGAGCATGTCAAAAACTTTGGTACAGTATCTCCAAGCATTAGCATTTCCATATTTTGTTTGGCACTCATCTGTGAAGAAAATAGAAATGTTCTGATTAATGAAATAATGTATCAAATCCTATAGTTACCTTTGTTACAAAAGAAATTCACCTTAATTCACCTAGAGCAAAAAATTATGGTGCATATATATTCCTAATAAATTTTTTCATATAGAAGCAAAAGAAGTCTACTATCTAAAAATACGCATATTCTAAGGAAGACTGGGATATAACTTAGAGGCAGGATTTGTGGAATATTTCTTTACATTGTGTGAAGATGTATCACTGTGACTGGTATAATAAAAAGCTAAATAGTCAATAGCTAGGCAAGAGGTATAGCCAGAACTTCTAGACAAAGACAGTGCTGGGAAAAAGAAAGGTGGAGTCACCAGCCAGATGAAGAGGAAGCAGGATGGTATTTTATAACAGATTAAAAGTAAATGAATCATGTAAAAGAACGTAGATTTAATAATATGGGTTAATTTAAGTTATAAGAGCTAGTGAGAAACAAGCCTAAGCTAAGGTCAAATTTTAATAACTAATAATAAGTCTCCGTATCAATTTTATTTTATTGTTTTTTTGAGACAGGGTTTCACCATAGTTTTAGAGCCTGTCCTGGAACTAGCTCTTGTAGACCAGGCTGGCCTCGAACTCAGAGAGATCCGCCTGCCTCTGCCTCCCTCGTGCTGGGATTGAAGGCATGTGCCACCACCGCCGGCATCTCCATATCAATTTTTCTGAGCTGGTGAGCCAAAAAAAAAAAAAAAAAAATCTGCCTACATGTATACCTCGCATATATAAAGCCCAAGTTCAATCCATAGTACATCTATACATACAAATAAGATGGGACTAGAGAGATGGCTCAGTAGTTAAGAGAACCTAATCCTCAGTTCTCAGCAGTCATCTGGCTCACAACTAACTATAACTCCAGTCAGTGGATCTTACACTCTCTTCTGGCCTCTGCAGGTACCAGGCACAAATGTAGTGCATATACAACATTCAAGCAAAATACTCATACACATAAAATATAAGCAAATCTTTAAAAACCATGTCCCTTAAAGAAATTATAATCCTTTTCATTCCAGGAATGATCCTAAAATGAAGTTGGAAATATCAACCAAAATGTTATCATTGGGAAAGAAATTATTGATCTCACATATGCCAAACCAAATGCTTTGGACAGTTATGTTAATGCCAAGTAATTCTATAAAACATTTCTTTAATATGACTACCTGATCATAGGAGGATAACCAAATCAAATAAATTAAGGGACCCTTAATTATAGGTGCATGAGTAATTCTTATCCCAATATTTCTCAGGGCAAAGTTATTTTTTGTGAGATCTTTGGAAAACTGTAACTAAATTTTAAATTTATGCTGATTGCCAGTAGCCAGGCAGAAGTATTGGTGGGACAACCAGATAGGAAGTAGAGGTGGGTCAATAAGAACAGAAGAATTCTAGAAAGAGGGAAGCTCCCTCTACAGTCCTGTCCAGACACAGAAGAAACAAGATATGACTACACCGCTGAAAAAGGTACCGAGACACGTGGCTAACACAGATAAGAATAATGGGCTAATGTAAGTTATAAGAGTTAATAAGAAACCTGAGCTAATGAGTCAGTTTATGATTAATGTAGACCTCTGTGTGATTTCTTTGGGAGTTAACAACTACGGGATCTGGGCAGGACAGAAACCTCAGACAACATAATTTGGTACTGTTATCATTTTCTTCAGCCAAAGCATACTGGGCAGCAAGTCCTAAACCCACATCCCTTCCCCGCTTTTTGTCCCTTTGCCCTACACTGAAGAATGTACTATAATTACACACACAAACCACTTATCTCTTAAGACACATATTTTTGAGTATCCATAATCTAAAAGTCTAAAATTTAAAATGCTGCAAAAAAGCCAAACTTTCTAAGGGTCAAGATGATAATATACGTCATTCATAATGGAGATACACTAAAAATAAATAGTGGGAGGCTGAAAACAACTGGGAGGTTGGAGTGATGGCTCAGTGGCTAAGAGCTATGGTAGCATCAATGCAATTGCACTCCATAAACTCATAAGGAATGGCACTATTAGGAGGTGTGGCTTTGTTGGAGTGGATATGACCCTGTTGGAGGAAATGTCACTGTGGCGGTGGGCTTTGAGGTCTCATATATGCTCAACCCATGCCCACTGTCTCAGTTCACTTCATGTTGAGTGAAGATGTAGGACTGAATCTCAGCTCCTTCTCCAGCACCATACCATGCATACCATCAACCTGCATACCGTTCATGTCACGCCATAATGATAATGGACTAAAGCTCTGAAAATGTTAAGTCAGCCCAATTAAATGTTTTTCCTGATGCGGGAGGTGAAGCCTAACAGAGTAAAGCCAGGCTGAAAGAGATTTATAGAGAAAGTAGGCAGAGTCAGTGAGATGCCATGTAGCTGCCAGGGACAGATGCCTCAGCTAGAATCTGCTGAAACTTTGCCAATAGGTCACGACTTTGTGGTGAAGCACAGATTAATGGAAATGGGTTAGTTTGGGATATAAGAGCTAGCTAGCGATATGCTTAAGCTATTGGCCAAACAGTACTGCAAATAATATAGTTTCTGAGTGATTATTTTGGGTCTAGGTGGTTGGGAAAGAATGAGCAGCTTCCCCCAACATTTTTCTTTGTAAGTTGTTGTGGTCATGGTGTTCCTTCATAGCAATAGAAACCCTAACTAAGATAAGAGCATTTAATGGTCTTACAAAAGACCTGGATTCAGTTCCCATTACCCACATTGTGCACAGACATACATGCAAGCAAACTCATATTCATAAAATAAAAATAAGTCTTAAAATAAGTAAAAGCCAGATGTGGTGGCAATTTTGGTACTTGGAAGAAACAGGCAGGTAGACTTTGAGGTGTTCGATACAAAAAATTCTAGGTCAGCCAGTGATATATAGAAACTATGTAAAAAACAATTAAAAAATATAATTATAAATAAAATAAAGATTAGGGTAGCAATCTCAGGGGTGCCACCAAGCCTGATAACCTGAATTCAATCCCCAGAATCCACAGGGTTAAAGAAAAAAAAACAACTCTTATAAATTGTCTGACCTCCACATATGGCCACAGTACACACACATTTTAAGTTTGTTTCCATATTCTTTTTTAAAAAATAAGGGGGACGTGGTGGCACATGCCTTTAATCTCAGTGCTCAGGAGACAGAGGGAGGTGAGTTGAAGGCCAGCTTGGTGTACAGTGAGTTCCAGGACTGTCAAGGGTAAGTGAAGAGACCCTGAGACAGACAAACAAACAAACAAACAAACAAAGTGGATTGTACCAAACATGGGGACAGCGATCTATAATCCCAGAACGCAGGAGGATGCACAATGAAACCTTGTCTATAAATAGGTAAGCAAGTAAATAAATGTTCAGCCAGCAGTTGGGAGACTGATTCAGGAGAGTTACTGAATTTTGAGGCTAACTTGGAACACTCAATGAATTCAGGCCAACCAAGCTACAGAATGAGATCTTATTTCAAATAAACAAAAAATTACTCAGATATGCCTTATCTGAAATGTTTCATCCCATTTGAGTGCTCAGGCCTCTATCCCCAGCATTTAGGAGGCAAAGTGTTGCAACGAGGGCCTGCTTGTTTGTTCTGGCCGCCCACGTAGCTTAGCTCTGGTATAACTACACAGAAACTATATTAATTAAAAATCACTGCTTGGCCCATTAGCTCTAGTTTCTTATTGGCTAATTCTTACATCTTAATTTAACCCATTTTAATTAATCTTTGTATCGCCATGTGGCAGTGGCTTACCAGCTAAAGTTCCAGCATGTTGTACTCTGGTGGCGGCTCCATAGCATCTCTCTAACTCCACCCTTCTTTCTCCCATCATTCAGTCCAGTCCCTATACCTACCTAAGTTCTGCCCTATCAAAAGGCCAAGGCAGCTTCTTTATTAACCAATGAAAGCAACACATAGAAGGACCTCCTACAAAACTACGCCCATATTCCCAAATATTGTTTATAATTGTTTGTTTACATTTAAAGGGGGATATGCTATAGAGATTTGCATTGGTATGAATCTTAATTTACTGATACAAATTTAAGGTCTATTTTGTTATATGTATATTTCTGCTCTTGATTAAGGTACTGAGATTGTGTAGTTCATTTAAAAAATGTAATATGTAATTAAGAAATATAGGTTAATAATCATCTATAATAATCAAACTTGTAGTTATGTTAGATTTTCTATATGTAAAGAGATATATTTCAGTTATATATTCTTCAAATCTTTCAGGATCCTTCAGAATATGACATTTAAAGTGTTTAAAAACTTAAGACTTTTCATGACAGTGAGACCCATCTGCTCCTGGCAGCATCAAGCTATTTCAAGAGGATGATGGGCGTGGATGATGGGCATTAAAGAGACTCCTTATGGAGTTGGTTAGCCATTTGGGCAAGAAACTGCTCATGCCTGGACTGCTTCATGGTATGTTGTAAAAAATGGACCTGCAGAACCCACAGAGAAATGACTGTTGGTTGAACTTGCCTAAAGGTGAGGTGATCCTTCGGGGTACCTGCTTTGTGAAGAGTCTGCAAGACATTCTACAGGATACAGAAAAAAATGACAGGCAAACTGCCAATATAGGCAGAACTGTCTTTGAAAATTTCCTGCTTCATGGAAAAGCTAGCTGCTGGACACTATGAGCCTGCAGGCCAAAGATGGATGCCCCAACGGTGCGGAAGAACTTTGGGTTACTGTCCAGGCAGGGAGATATCTCTGTCATTTCTAGAGTTTTGGAAGTTGCTTACAATGCACTTCCGGTTTACTTAGGTAATATTATATCCTTCTGGAGTCTTTGATGGAGTTGAAGAATTTATAGTTATAGTTTTCCTTAGGAGATATAAACATTGTAACTGTAGTTCTTACTTGATACCTGTTTTGTTATATGAAGTTTTGCTATGTTATAGTTAAAGCTTTCTTTTTTATTTAAACAGAAAAGGGAAAATGGTGCAGGAGGTCCTTCTGGCTATGTGTTGCTTTCATTGGTTAATGAATAAAGAAACTGCTTTGGGCCTGCTGATAGGGCAAAACTTAGGTATGTGGGGAAAACTAAATGGCATGCTGGGAGAAAGGAGGCAGAGTCAGAGAGAAAAGCTATGGAGTCACCACCAGAGTCAGACATGCTGAATCTTTGCCAGTAAGCCACTGCCATGTGGTGATATACAGATGAATAGAAATGGGTTAAATCAAGATGTGAGAGTTAGCCAATAAGAGGGTAGAGCTAATGGGCCAAGCAGTGATTTTAATTAATACAATTTCTGTGTAGTTATTTCGGGGCTAAGCTAACTGGGCGGCTGGGACAAATAAGCAGGCCCTCATCCTACAGCAAGGAATACTGATTATCCTGCAAAAGAATAAAACATTCAGTTGGGTACGGTGACACATGCCTGTAATCCTAGCATTTCAGAGGCTGAGGCAGAGAGATGGAAGCACATTTAGGGTCAGACTGGTTTACAGTGTTTAGACCAGAACCATATAGCAAGACTATCTCAAAAAAAAAAAAAAAAAAAAAAAAAAAAAAAAAAAAAAAAAAAAAAAAAAAAAAAAAAAAAAAGAAAAGAAAAGAAAAAGACAAAGAGTAAGAAAACAACAACAAAAAAGCAACTAAATGTCCAATGAGAAACAGACTGATTATGATACATTCATACATTGTAATATGATATAGCTATAGAACGACAAGGAACTGTCAGGAGATGCCACAGAAGGATCATGTGATTAAGGATGACAGTGAGTACTAGTCTACTCTAGGCATCTATGGGGACATTCTGTCAAAAACGAACAAAACAAGCCGGGCAGTGGTGGCGCATGCCTTTAATCCCAGCACTTGGGAGGCAGAGGCAGGCGGATCTCTGTGAGTTCGAGACCAGCCTGGTCTACAAGAGCTAGTTCCAGGACGGCTCCAAAACCACAGAGAAACCCTGTCTCGAAAAACAAACAAACAAACAAACAAACAAAAAACGAACAAAACAAACCAACCAAAAGACTAAGGAAGTAAAAAGGCTAAGCATGCAGCATAGCATTAAGGAAAGACTGGAGATATAGCTCAGTAGTAGAGTGCTTGCCTAGCATGCATAGGTTCTGGATTCAATCTCCATCACTGACCAAAAGAAGAAGATAGGAAAGGGGAGTGGGGATGGGAGAAGGCATGCACGGATAAAACTCCAGTCTTGAACGTATGTGACATGCACCCTCAGGAGATTCCAGGGTTCTATGCCAACAGAATTTGATTACGATGCTTGAAGTGAGATCCAACAATCTAATTTAAATTAAAAAAAAAATGTTTTTTTTTTTTGTTTGTTTTTTTTTTGTTTTTTTTTTTTAACATGGTTTCTCTGTGTAGCCCTGGCTGTCCTGGAACTTTTTAGATCAGGCTGATATCGAACACACACACACATCTAGACATGATTAAAAATAAGCAAACAGTCCCTTTGGGAGTTATGCTTCAGCACTCGTGTGTTCAGGAGTAGGTGCTCTCTGCCCACCAGAGGGCCCTGGAAAACAAACTCTGGCTATCAGGCTTAGCAGTAAGTGCCTTTAGCCACTGGCCCTTCTCACACGCCCACAATCTGCATTTTAAACAAGCACTCAAGGTGATTCCAAAGTGGAAATGTAAATTACACTTTTTTCCACAGATTTAGAAAGCTGTACACCAAAGCCTTAGTAGTAGTCAGTCAGTCTTTCTCTATATGGCAAGATTTCCAGTTGACTGGGGAAACGCAGTGTTAACTAGAAAAAAAAAAAGACAAAAACAACAACAAAAACAAGTGCATATACAACTTCCCCCCCCAAAAGATACTACTTAGAATCAAAGAAAAGAAGGTCTTACCATAAAATCCATACACCTGTGTTATCTGTCTACTCTCATGATTTCCTCTTAAAAGTGTAATACGATCAGGCCATTTAGCCTTTAGTGCAAGAAGATAAGTGAAGGTCTCCAAGCTATAGTAACCTCTGTCTACAAAATCACCCTGTAAAGTAAAAGTTTACAGTTACAAACCATACAATAGCTGTAAGAGCCCAAAAGAACAATAATAAGGAGCTGCACATTGTTTTTAAAAATAATTTCTTAAAAATTATTGAGAAACAGGACCTGTGAGTCCCTAGTACACATATAAAAAGATGGCTGCACTGAAGCACTACGGGCTGAGACAGGTGAAGCCTTGATGAAACCAACTGAAATCCAGAGAGTTTCTGGTTCAACAAAAGCCTCTGTTCTCAAGGCAATAAAGTGGAGAGAAAGCCTAGTCTACCTAGAAAGCTTCAGGTCAGCCAGGACAATGTGGCGAGATCCCCTCATAAAAAAGAAAAGAAAAAACCCGAACTGCTCCCTCCCAACCTTACAGGTATGAAATACTATTTACACTTGGGGCAATACCGCACCACTATTCAGGAAATAGCTTTACAAAATAGCAATACATGGCTGGAGACATGCCATCTGTGGTTTTCCCAGAGGACCTAAGTTCTATTCCCAGCACCCATACAGTAGCTAATAATCATCTGTAACTCCAGTTCCAGGGTATCTGACACCCTCTTCTGGCCTCTAAGAGAACCAAGCATGCATGGGGTACATAGACATAAATGAAGGCAAAACATCCATACACATAAAAAAATAATAGATTGGGCTGGAGAGATGGCTCAGAGGTTAAGGACACTGACTGTTCTTCCTGAGGTCCTGAGTTCAATTCCCAGCAACCACATGGTGGCTCACAACCATCTACAATGAGATATGGTGCCCTCTTCTGACATGGAGGCAGAACACTGTATTGTACATGTAATAAAAAAAATCTTTAAAAAAAATAATAGATTAAAAAACTTAAAATACTACTAATAATTAGAAAGGTGACAGAGAACTTTGCAATGACACTTGTTCTTGCAAAGGGTCTGAGTTCGATTCCTAGCACCGAAATGGTGGTTCACAACCATCTGTAACTCAGGTTCCATAGGACCCAATGCCCTCCTCTGACATCTACAGGCAGAAGGTACACATGTGGTGCAGACACACATTCAAGCAAAACACTCATACACATAAAAGATAAATCAATCTTCAAAAATTTCTATCAATAGGCTGGGAAGATAGCTTAGTGGATAAAGTACTTGCCTTCCAGGTACGAGCCTCTACCTAAATTCAATCCCCAGAATCCACATAGAAACAGCAAAGCGTGGTGCTACGTGCTGGCAAAACAGCACTGAAGAGGCAAAGGCAGGCAGAACCTGGAAACTTCTGGAGAGCCAGCCTAGTCTACTTAGGGAGTTCCAGGGTAATGAGAGACCTTGTCTCAAGTATAGGTAGATGGCACCTAAGTAACGAACAACAGCCAAGGCTGTTTAATGGCATGTACATACACAAACATGTGCATATGCCACACACACACACAAATTCAGAAAATTTCAACATTAAAAAAGCAGAGTAAAAAAATACACCATAATAACAAGTGTATATTAGAAAAAAGTATGATATACCAAACTATACCTTTGTGTAGTCACCCATCCACAGTCTAACCAGGGGTTCTATGTGGTCCTCCTGCCATTACTGGCAGTCATAACTCAGTCCTATTTGTAAAGTAAGTTTACAAACATAGCAATTATGTTTAAGTAGAAGACATGACAAAATACAGAGAAGTAAGACTCACCTTTTCATACATTTAAATAGCAATTATTATAGAATTTAAATAAAATAAGCCAGAGCCTTTTGATTTTGAATAAGCACTTGATATCACTAGTGTTTACATACCATAAATATATAGTTTGTGTCAGGAACCTGACCTCCAGTTCGGAACAGTTCACAAAGATCATAGAACTGTAAAAGAAAAGCAATATATGCTGATTATAAATTCCTGTGAAAGAATTAAGATAAATTGTGAATGAGACATGTGAAGAAACAGACTTCAAATATTTACATATGTAAGAAGAAATAAAGTATAAGCAAAAGTGCCAAGATTTAATTTCCAAATCTTAAAAGGCCTTGAAAAAAAAATACACATAAGCTAAGATACTGCTTTGTGTAACAAAATGCAAATGTCAATTATATTGGGGAGGCAAGTTACAAGGAAACTTAAGAAATCCATTCTCTAAAGTTTACTCTACAGAAAGCTAACAGATCAAAGATGACATCATGAGGTTTCTATTTAGGAGCTGGCATTACAGATGTCAGGCTTATTATAACCTCGTCATCCAGAAAACTGCTTGAAAAAGCAAAAAGAAAATAGCTTTGTAAGTAGTCAAAATGGTTTTTATTTATGAAGCAGCCTCTATTCAGGGCCAATTTAGATACATTTCTGCTCCTATATACCATGACATCAGGGAATGAAATTGCAGTCAGTCAACTGTGTGGTAGAGTGATTCTTCACAGCATATTCCAGGTTCTACAGTCCCAACTACACTGTATGTACACAGCAGGCTATGAACCAGCTTTTTAGCTTTTAGTTCCCAAGTCTAATGCTAAGTTGTGCCCTCTAGTCAGTGCTTTGGAATTCGTATAAACAAAAGCCAGCAGATAGGGGCTGAAGAAACGGCTCAGTGCTCTTCCTGAGGACCAGGGTTTAATTACTGGGACCTATCCAGGTAAGTAGCTCACTACCACCTGCAATTCAAACTCTAGGGGATTCAACTCCTCTGGCTTCTATGGGTACATCACACATGCACATTACACAACATACACACACACAAACACACATTAAAAATAATAAATAAAATGAAAAAAATAAGTCAGCAGGTATTCGAGGTCCTACAGTCCCATCGAAGAAATAGATTAAATCTTTTTCATCTCATTCTATCAGTGACTTGCTATAAAATCTTGCAACAATTTGCTTTTCTAAACTTTTGCTATTTTCATTCTTATTAAAGAAATGAGCAGATTCTAATAAGACATTGATGAATGAACAAGACCAAACCATCTCTTGTTAACTATAATTTCTATGAGCACCTAGTCTTATATTTTGCATCTTTCACCATCATGGAACACCCTACACTGCTCCAAACAACAACTCAGCAGTGCATTACACTTTGTAAGTAGAAGTCAAAGTTCATGAGATATTTGACTACTGCTTTTATCTGTCAGTGCAGCGAACCAGGAACCAAGCATAGCATGAAGACCAACACCACCTAATCACCAGCTGGGTTTTGTTTTATTCTGCAGCACAAGTTAGAAACAAATGGATCACTGACTCTACAAACCCTAAAACTTCCTTGTGAAAATTACCTGTCCATGTATGTCCCCACACACTGTTACTGGTGTTGACACTGGCTGAACATTCGACTCTTCCAAGAGCAGATCGCAAACATAGTCACACAGTCGCTGAAAGAAGAGAAGGAAGAAAAATGTCAACTTTCACGACAATATTAAAACTAAAGATTGAATAAAAAAATACAAAGACTAATATTTAGAGAAACTAAATCTCTCCTTTAAAAAATATTTTATATGTATGAGTATTTTGCCTGCATGTACCACTTGCATGCCAAAGAAGGTCTCAGATCCCCTGAACTAGAGTTAATGTGAGTTAATGTAAGTGCTGGGAGCTAAACCCAGTTCCTCTACAAGAGCAACAAGTACTGTTAACCACAGAGCCAACTTTCCAGCTCCCCCAACCTCAAGTCCTTCCTTTGAAAGGTAAGAAAATTGTATTATACATTCAATCAGTAATAAAGATATATATATATTTTTTTTAATTAGCAGATAAAAGCACATGCCTGAGCAGAAAACAAGATCTGGTACAGCACCATTAAGACTGAGTAGGAGAGTGGGGCGGTGGTGGCACAAGTCTTTAATCCCAGCACTCGGGAGGAAAAGGCAGGCAGATCTCTGAGTGCGAGGCCAGCCTGGTCTACAGAGTGAGTTCCAGGATAGCTAGGACTGCTGCATAGAGAAACCCTGTCTCAAAACAAACAAAACCCCTCCAAAAAGAGAGAGAGAGAGAGAGAGAGAGAGAGAGAGAGAGAGAGAGAGAGAGAGAGAGAGAGAGAGAGAGAAGGGGGGGGGATTGAATGGAAAAAGATCCACGCACCTACCCGTCCCAGGCAGCCAGGAGGAAATATATGGGAGAGACAGAGAGAAAGAGAGAGAGAGAAGGGGGGGGAGGGAGGGAGGGGGACAGATTTGAAGAGGTGAAGGCAGTGAGGACCAAGCTAGTGTGAGTGGCCTGCTTACCACCTGGGCCCATGCCTGGGTACACAGTCTATGCTTACATCCTTGACTCCTGTTACTACTGTGCTAAGAGGATAGCGTTGCAGAGAGTCGGCCCCGCCCCTCACTGGCTGCTGCTCGGTCCTGCCCTTGCCTGGGCAGCACAATAAAGCTGACCCTGTTCACAGGGGTTGGGGTGAGGGTGGGGTTTGCAGGCGAGCTGTCCTGAGGGCATGAGAATGGGAGAGTAGGTTTTGTCCCCCTTGTCTGCCACAAGGTGGCACTGATGAGGGAAAGATGCCCTCCCCACCTTGTCCTCCTCCACCTGTGGCAGGCAGGTGAGCTGACCCAGCACCTTGCCTGGGCAGCACAGCAGAGCTGACCCTGTTAATAAGTGCATGGGTGAGCTGTCCCAACACCCGAGTGTGAGTGGTGCCTGCATCTCTCCCACACACACACATAAGCATATAACAAATTAACTAAAAATGTAATTAGAAAAAAGAGTCAGGTGTGGCAGCACACACCTTTAATTCCAGCACTCCAGGGGCAGAGGCAGAAGGATCTCTTTAAGTTCCAGCCAGGACAGTCTGGTCTATACAAAGAGTTCCAGGCCATCATTGCTTTAGTTAAGGTTTTTATTGCTGTGATGAGACATTATGATCACAGCAACTCTTATAAAGAAAACATTTAATTGGGGGTGATTTGCTTACAATTTCAAAGATTAAGTCCATTATCATCATGTTGAGGAGCATGGCAGGCAGACATGGCGCTGGAGTAGCTAAGAGTCCTACATCTTGCAGGCAACAGGAAGTCAAATGAGAGACTGGGCAGTATTCTGAGCATAGGGACCCTCAAAGCCCGCCCCCACAGTAGCACACTTCCTCTAACAAGACTGTATTTGCTCTAACAAAGTCACATCTAATAGTGTCACTCCCCATGAAATTATGGGAGCCAATTACATTCAAACTACTACAACTATGTAGCGAGACCCTGTCTCAAAACAAACAAACAAAAACACACCCCTCCCAAAAGAAAAAAGCAAGCAAGGGGCTAGAAGTGGGTGGTGTGGTTGCTGGGCTCCCAGGAACCGAGGGACTGGAGTGGACCACTATTCAGTTGTCTGGCTTGCAGGGCTCACTATAGAGTCAGAGCAGATATGCTGGAGGCACAGACTTAGGCTGCAGAAAATTTTTGGAGTACAGCATCACAGATAAAGCTGACAGGATAGTCAAAAATGAGATTAATGCAAAAAAAAATTAAACAGAGAATGGATCTACAGTCATTGCTAACTTGTTCCTCTGTGGATCAGACAGCAGTACCTATCTTATTATATATAGGGACTTGCTGTGCTTACAAAAGAAAGACCACCAAATTCCACCAAGTGCCTACATTTGGTTGCTACTGTAGATTTACATGATTATAAGGTAGCTTTAATTGCCATGATTCTCCTCCCCAATCTGGAAATTAAAGAACCTGCAGGACAGCAGAACTCATTTCTGGAGTTGCAGAAGGGTACATACCCTCCCCTTCCCTGATCTTATTTAATCATTTTATTTATTTAATGAGTATACTAATTTAATGAGTATCATCTGTGTACTTTTTTCTCAAATTGCCTATTACTTTATTTTATTTTCAAAATAAACTGCTAAATTTGGAGGGTATGGCAGCTCAAGCCTCACAATCATCTATTATTCCAGTCCAGGGCCCCCTAGAGCACCAGGTATGCATGAGGTGTACAGACAGACATGAGGACAAAACACCCATATACATCAAATAACAAAATTTAAAAGGCAACAAGAGGGATTGTTCTTGCGTAAGGAGGTGCTCTTGGTACTGTCTTGGGACTCAGTTCACTCACCATGGAAGGAAGCAGGTGAATATGTTTGTTCTTGCGTAAGGAGGTGCTCTTGGTACTGTCTTGGGACTCAGTTCACTCACCATGGAAGGAAGCAGGTGAATATGGCCCAGGCGAGAGTAACACAGTGCTTTATAATTCTTGTCAGCAGGGAGCCTCTCTCCAGAAGCTCCGCTACCAGCTGTGAAACATGTCTGATTCTGACAGCTTTGCTATTGAAGGAGAAACAGGAAATGGCTGTATACTAAATGCTGTGTGTCACCAGAGGTCTCTGGGATTATTAAATATGGCTTTACTGGGGGCAAAAGAGATGGCTCAGAGGATAAAGGCAACACTAAAGACTCGAGCTTAAGAGAACTGACTTTTGCAAGTTGTTTTCTGCACCATGATACATGTATACACACAATAAAAACAAACTAATTTTAATTAGCTGGGGGTGATGGTGATGACATACATCTTTAGTTCCAGGATCTGGGAGGCAGAGGCTAAACTGGTCTACATAGTGAGTTCTAGGTTGGCTAGGGGTACACAGTAAGACCCTGTTTTAAAATACTAGCTAAATAAAATAGAGAGATGGCTTCAGTGCCTCACAACTCTGTCAGTCCTGGGTAGAACCTCATCTCTGAGGCACAGATACAGGTATTTTGTTCCTAAGAAGTAGGAATGAGGAGAGTCTGATAAATATGTTATCTCCCTTGCGGTCCTCTAACATGTTATTTCTTTCATGTTCTTTTCATCTATCTGGGATTACCCTGGATTATTTTTGGTTTAAATTTTATAGAACCTGATTTATAAATATTAAATAGGATTCCATTCTAACTGTAGAAAGGGGTACTTCTCACTGGAGGAAAGCAATAGGTATAGAGTAGTTCCCTCATTTAAAATGTGTATGCACCTCTAGTCTGTAAATGGAGTTTGGTTAACAGTTCTTTCAAGTCTAGAACAGTACAGCAAACTGATTAAGAACAGAGGTTATTGAAGCAGAATGAATTCCAGTCAGATCTTGATCTCACTGATGACATAACTCTGTGACCTCTCATAAGCACTTTAAGCTTACAGCAAACCTCAAGCTTTTAGGAGATAAATGGTGGATAATAAACACATTCTTCATAAGTAAACATTTGGGCAAGGTAGTCAGTCTAAACTCAGCACTGCAGAAGAAAAAATGCAGAACAGGGAGGGACTGAGCGAAAGTTCTCTACTCTGCCACCTCCTATGGGGATCACATTTCAAAAGACACATGTGCAGAAAGTTCATTACTTGCTGAACACTGCTTAATATATCAGACTGCAAATGCTGCTTTTCATTAATATGGAAACCTAGCATAGTTTTAATTAACGTAGTGACTTCTTTGGTAAGATTGGGTGGCAAGAGTATGTAAAAACTATACTAACTTTATCTGTCGGGGACAAGAACTGTAAAATTTACTCAACTAATTTTGGAAAATAATATTGATATTAACATTATTGACACATCAGCTATTAAGACATATTCTTTTTTATTTTTTATGATTTATTTATCTTTATTTTATGTGCATTTGTGTCAAGGTGTCAGATCCCCTGGAATTGGATTTTCAGACAGTTGTGAGCTGCCATGTGGGTGCTGGGAATTGAATCCAGATCCTCTGGAAGAGCAGTCAGTGCTCTTAACTGCTGAGCCATTTCTCCAGCCCTTAAAACATATTCTAAGGCCATTGTAATTAAAGTAGTTTGAGAAAGGAATGAAGTGATCAGTACAATAGAAGATTTTAAAGATAAATGCAAATACAAAAAGTTTAGAATATACTTAAGGCAGGACTAAGGATGTAGCTCATTCGGCAGAGCATCTGCTAAACACATGTGTTTGATCCTCAGCACGGTATAAACTGGACACAATGGTGCTCCCTATAATCCCAGCACTTTGGGGGTAGAAGCAGGGAATGAGGACTTCAAGGACATCTTCAATTATACAGTTGGAGATTAACCTGGGCTATGTGAGACCTTGTCTCAAAGAAACAAAAAATAAAAACTAAAATTAAAAATAAAAATCACTGCCTGAGTTATTGACTTTAGTCCAATTCTTCCTTCCTTTTTCTTCTTCTTAAAGCTAGGGCGTTTCTAGAGTGCTGGCTGTCCTATAAATCCCTATGTAGACCAGGTTGGCCTTGAATGCACAGAGATCTACCTGACTCTGCCTCCTGAGTGTTGGGATCAAAAGTGTGCACCATCATGTCTAGCCTTAGTTTCATTTTTTTTAAAGTCACTAAATTAACTTTGTCTTGGGATTAAGACATAGTTTCCAACAATTTCTGAAACAGTCCTATCATTGTAATACATAAATA